CTGGCGGCCTCAGGGCTCTGCAGGCTGCCAGCTGGTAACGGTGACGTCCCCAAGAAGCCGACCCCCCACCAGAGGGCCCCCAGGTCCCCAAGAGGCCAGAGGAGCAGGAGGGAGCTGGGCATGGGCGACGGGGTGCGTCTGGCTGCAGAAGGCACCGGGGCGGGTAGGCAGGCTGTGGCACCCCTCACAGGAGTGCCCGGGGCAGGCGGCCTCGACCAGGGGCCTTCAGCTCAGCCCGGGTGGGGGACTCTGGGAGGCAAAGAATGGACTGTGTTCCCCGAGGGCCAGCCTCTTCCCGCCCAGCCCCTGCCCAGGCACCCTGCAGGGTTTCTGAGTCTCCCTCGGGGAGACTGGGGAAGGCAGCCCTCCGGACACACACCCTCCCCAGGACTGCAGGTGGGGGCGGCAGGAGGGACGCTGCCATCACAGACACACCCTGGGGCTGAGCAGGCAGGACCCCCATCTTCCCCTCTGCTCAGTGCTGGGTCCGTGGGATGTGGGCATAAGAATGGGCAGCACAGACCAGAGGGAGGGGTGACCATGCATGAGGCCAGTTCAACCCGCAAGCCCCCACCTGCAGGCCCTGAGCGCCACCGCCTGGGCTGGGTCCGAACGCTGCAGAAGTGGGTGCGGGGCTGAGCGGGGCGGCTCCACCCAGAGGACTGTCAGATGGGGACCCCACACCTGCTCCACCCCCAGGCCAGCCTGGCTGCTCCCGGGGGCGTCGAGCTGTGCAAAGGGCCTGGTGCCCAGGGGTTCCCGACTCTGAGCCTTAAAGTCAGAACAGACGCCTCTCCCGGGAGCTCCAGCCACGGCCCCACCTGCCCCTCCTACGGCTCTGGTCCCCCAGGTCCCCCGGGCTCCGCAAAGGATGGAGACCCTCCGGGAAGGCAGCCTCCTCCCCTCGCATCCCTGTGGGCCCCCTGGGGGCAACCTCTGCCCGGGAGAGGGCGGACACAGAGGCGTGGGCACGAGGCCGGCCTGGGCCTCCGCACAGACGGAGACGATCTGGGATCAAGCAGAGACCGGGAACCCCGTCTGATCACCCCGGGTCAGGCGGCCACGGCAGGCGGGGCGAAGCTGAAACGATGCAAAGAGTAGACAGGTGGGCGGGCAACCCTCGTCCCCGCAGAGGTCAGCCCCCGGCATGGGCAAGGGGACCCCGCAGTCATCTTTGGAAAAGGGGCTGCTCCCCTTCACTGACGGAGAAGCCCGCCCGCCCAGAGCCTCTCATCGTCCGGGAGGGGGGTCCTCTGCAAAGACACACCAGCCCCACCTGCGCCCCCCATCGTGGGCGGGGCCAGCACTCCAAGCGGGAGAGCGGAGGGAGGCTCAGAAACCCCCCAACGCCACCCTCCCGCCTGCTGCCGGGGACAGGGCCGGGGGACAGGGCCCGAGGCCGTGAGCCGCCCAGGCTCCCGGGAGCTGATGGCCGCGGGGGCCACGCGAGTTCTTGCCACTCCGGCCTCCGCCCTGGGAAAGCAGTGCCCTGCGGGGTCCAAAGACGAGCAGCACTGACAGGGAGGGGGTGGCAACACATCTCTTAGGCTTAACAGTGACAGGCTGCACCCCGAAGTCCACACAGGCCGGGCAGAGGGGCGGGGACGGGGCTCAGCCGAGGAGAACGGCTGAAGGGCGGCCGGCCTAAGTCATTTGGTGCGGGGCCTCCAGCATCTCCATGAGGAAGGTGTCGATGGGCGTGTCCCCGATGAGCTTGAAGAAGAAGAGGTGCTCCAGGCACTTGAGGCCGATGGACCGCAGCGCCGGCAGGCGGAGCAGCAGCTTGGCGAACCTGC